CACACTAGAACCGCCGCAACACATTTAAATGATCTTTTTGAGATCATTTAAGTTAATAGACCAATCAAATATGATTTCGTTCTACCAGTAAAAAAAATTATGTGGCGACTCCTCAAATATGTACATTTTCTTGAATGAGGTGCATGTATACGACCATGTCTAAGTCGTAATCTAGCTTGATGTCGACATGAATATTGTCTATTTTTCTCGTTTTTCATTCTTATATTATTCGGCAAGAAAAAGAATTATTTATTCATTTTTTCTTCACTTTAGAATGAAACCCAAATTAGTACGAGTTCTTGTGTCTTCCAAGAAAGATTTACAAGGTTCTTTTTTTGTTGTTGTTTTACTAGATATTTTTTGTTGATCATCAAAATAAATTATTATTATTATTGTTATTTATATTTATATAGTTTGCTTCTGTTTTAAAAATATCGAAAGAATTTCTAAAAATTCAAGTGAAACGATTACACATGATTTGAATTATATTTCATCAGTGTTTTTTGTAATCGAACATTGATTCAATAATACTTATATAAAAACTACATGCATACAAGAAGGACATCTTTGACTGCATGAGAGATTATTTTTTAGCGATGTGCTACATTAAAGAGGCGCGCTCTTCATTTTGATTGGTAAATTGTCCACTTAGTGTGAATGCGCATTCACGTAAAACAACATTAATTTTCTTCATCTTTTGGTGTGATTTCGGCCTTAACCATTATTCAGAAGAAGAATTTCTGAGTATAAGATAAATAAACCAATCATTTTTTGTTTTGAGCCTGCATATTCCTTAAATGGTGTCCACCAAGGCTAGTAATATACTTAGCAGAAATGATTACTCGTCTTACACTAATTCTAAATATATATATATAAGTCTCCTTATTTGCTTTATTTGATTGAAAAAAATTGTTTACTCGGTGTATTTAGAAATAGTGACCAAAGAAAACATGAAATAGACATGATAAATTGTATAGATAAATAATATAATAAGATGAAATAGAAATTTACCTGAAATCGATTGTAGCTATCCAAGATATCATTCATGTGTTTAGAAACATTTTGCATTGAGAAGAAAATAGTCAAATGATCCAAATGATCCAGAATACGATAGACAAGTTCTGCTGGCAATGTATGAAGAGAGCCACTCATTTTGTTTGATATGGTTGAAGCGCGTTAAAATGTGTGTGTTACACAGAATGTATTGTTGAATGTGTCTACAGTTGAATGATTTCGTTTTTCTCTTTTCTCTTACCGATGTAGTGTTTATGCAAGCAAAAAAGAAAATACAAATAGGTAAATGAGAAGTATTCATATGACAGAATATAGATAATAGCTATAATTTATTCTTTCTTTCGATGATCATACCTGTCACATGGATTGGATACGAAAGGTAAAAATAATTGGTTGAGACCTTGTCTTCTAGTTTAAAAATAAAAAAAGAAGTTTTGCAGAACTATTTTCCGATTTTACTATTCGAATAAAGGAAAAACTTAGCAAAAAAGTTCTTGACCAAGAGAAGGTGCTATAAGGAGTAGAGAATCATTTATTCTTGGGGTATACTGAAAAAGTGGTAACGCCAACTTTATAATATTTTACAGAAGCCTCTAGAAAATTTTTTTCTGTATATTCTGATAGGCCAAGTCAAGCTCTATAATTTTATGATATTTCTTAAATCTTCAAACAATATATAATATTGGACAAAAAGAAAAAATAATGAGGGATTTGCAAAAAAAACATTTTTGAACGAAATTTACCATGGTTTTATTACATCAGATGTTCGAAGTAATCAATCCGGTTGTTTATACATAATTGCATTTGTTGAATCTACTTATCAAAAGTTTTTTTAATTCTCATTTGTCGACGATTTCATAAATTTGATCACAGCTTCATTCTGAGGATGTGTGTGGATGTATGTGTAGATCATTGCTTACTTACATTCTTAGCCACCCACCCACATTCACAACAAGAAACAGTAGTATGCCAACTACAGCAAGTACTATATCTAATATTAAAAAATCAAACTCGTGAATCAGTTGACCGTTTAGAAAGGCATATATTAGAATAGAGTGTGGATGGGTGAGTGAGAATATAAGTAAGCAATGGTCTACACTCACACACCCACACCCACACACCTAATCTGTCCATCGTGGATTCTATCAATATGAAGATGTAATCATCTTTAGCTACAATAGTATAATCCACATTATAAAATATTCGATTCTTAAGAGTAATAATACCTGTTATATACTGTTTTTCTTTACCATCTTTATTCTTTATATTCAGAAAGAGGATGTGAATGTGTGAATATGAAAATGGGTGCTGCGTGTGAACATGAATATAGATGTGTTGGTGTGAATATCGATCTTCTCTTCATCCAAACCGACACCTACACCTAAAGAGTTTATTTAATAGCGGTACAATCAAGACTTCAGTACTTCAAAATAGAAATGAAGCATCATTGACGTTTCGCTTTTCTCTACTCAACTTTCATGTCCTATCTTCCAAAATTGACAAATTCCGCCATATATTGTATATTTACTTTTGTAAACCTTCATATTAAAGCACACTTAGTCAATCGAGTGTCTAAACAACATTCCAATTTGAAATCTTCGTGCTCATTATTGATGTTATTATATGATTCATGTCCTCAAAGTCGACTTTCGTCCTTTTTAATTTAATTAGTAGCCTTATTGCTCCATCCTAGCCATTTTAGTAAGTCAATAACAGATATAATTTGTCTATAAATAATTTAGCATTCGAAATACAGTTAGTTAGGAAAGTATTTCGGCAAAGAAAAAGACACGCAAGATTTTGGTAAATCATGAAAATAGAACAAGAATGGAAGAAAAATACTATGCCATATTTCAATTACTAACACTATGAGATCTGCAAGATAGTTCCAATCCTAATTATGCAGCCAAGACGCAAAATCTAATATTTCACCGAATATAAAATATGAGTACATAACCTAAGTTTTAGATTTCTGATATCCTTTAATTATAAACAAGTTCCTGTTATAGGCAAACATGTTTTATAAATTTTTAAAATAATCATCTTAAATGGCATAGTTTTTGTTGATTGTTACAATGAACATGAAAAACTGTATTTTATTTCTCACAGGATCTTTTACATTATTTAAAAAAAAAAGAATTCTCCTTTAATAATTTCTTTTTTTATCTTTTTTCATTCATAGATTAAATATTTATCCGATAATAAATGGAATGAATAGCAGAATAAAAAAATATCTTTTGTGAAGAGTTAGTAGAATTAAAATGATTTGTAGTATCATGGATGAAATGATTTTCGAATTGATAATTATAATAAAATGATTCAGCATGAAATAAAAAATCAATAGCACGTTTATTTCGATTTATTTTTGTCCAAACAACTTTACCTTGTAAATGTGTATGAGAAAAGCTAATAGAACTGTTATACCTCATTCAGGAAATTTCTTGAATTAAATAAAATGATTATATAATAATAAAATATACTTGAGAAAACTGTACAGGACAAGAAGCATCAATATCGCAATGATTAATTAACACCTGATAGAATAGCAACACGAGCAAAACTTTCATATGTTGTAAATGTTAAATAACCGAGATCATATTTACATAATTCATTTCCAATGTACAGTCAAATTTCTGAATGATCAAAATTATCTATATTATTATAGGCAATTTAGGTTTTTTTTCTTCAAAAAAAGAAAAAATCTATTCACTTGATAATAATTTTGAATAATCAAAATGTAGTTGAACCATGAATTATTTAACTGGTGAACTTCCACCAATTGGATAAACAACTTCATGAACAAATTCATTCATTTTTTTATTTACAAAATATAGGTATAAATTAATTTAATAAAATAAAATATTTACATGATCTTTGTCAATAGTCCATCCATTAGCAAGATTCTCTATATTTATTAGTTAAATTGTTACATATGTCAGAAGATAAATTTTCATCATAAAATATCACTGAAGGATCACATTAAAATGTTGTCATATGATGAACCATATCTTTACTTGAAGAATCAACTAAGGTTTTATACTTAAACAATTTTATTTAATTATTATTTAGATTAATTTTTAGGAAAAAACATACAACAATTGTATGTTGTTTCATTGTAAAACGAGATGGAATTTTAAAGATTTAACAAAAATAAGTTGTTTCATCTGATGGAATTCGATACTACAAAAAAACAAATATCCCTAGAGAATATACTGAGTCCAGGGTACCCGAAAAAGTACCCTGCTACCAGTATGTCACAGGAACTTTTGGGTACCTAAGTACTTTAAAGTACTTTTAGGTACTTACTGGGTACCGTGTCGGGTACCCTGCTGTATAGAATACAGTATGTAGGAACTTATAGGTACTGGTTAGATACTTGATTCGGTACTAATAGCAGTACTTACAAGTACCTTGTTAAAGAACACCAGTACATTGCCGATTGAATCTTGTCTTAGACTTCGTTAATTTTTTCTCGTAATACAGTTCAAAGTCATAAATCTAATTATTTAATGCTATATTTTTTATGCAAAAAAGGTTTTAATTTCTTTTCAAAACTAATATCCGAAAAAAATTGTATAATCAAAAATTCGCAGTTGCTTTGTCCAAGGATCAGACTACATAATAAAGATACAATGGCTCATTATTATGTAGAAAATCAAATACTATTTATTGAATCAAATAAAATAATCAGTAGTACGTTACAAGATTGGATAAGTCTCATAATATGAGAAAAATCATAAATTTACAATATAGGTTGAAGAAAAAAAACGAAAACTAGAATTCTTAATGAGAATGTTGTGCACTTCTCAGATAAGATACTGAGTTTCTGTTCGTATATATGCCCTAGAGGTAGAATAAAAGGTAGACAAATACCACAATAAAATCATAAAAAATGAACTGTTATTAAATCACCACTAAAATCATCTAGAATCAGATAAAAAACGCTCATAATTTTTATCCATCAAGATATTCAATTGATTAGTTACTTAAAAAGTTAAATTCTGTTTAAGATTAGCATCTGGTATTATTAACATATCATTGGATGGTATAATTTCTATTAAATGTTGTTGATTGATTGATGAGTTCGCCATTTGTCGAGCTAATTTTGTTTTCATATTTTTTTTAATATCGTTAGCTAATGATGCCATTGATTTAGTAACTTCTAGCCAAGTTTCATTGATGTTAACTATACCAGGACAACGATATTGTAAGAATGCTAGATATAAAGATGACAGTAAATTATAGTTTTATATAACTCGTATCGAAATTACAACTTCAACAACAAAATTTATCAGAATTAATTTTATTTCATTTAGCAATAAGTAATTTATTAAAGTCGAGTATCATATTGCTGAATATCTAATCAAATTTTTGTGCCATTGAATACTCTTTATTCAACAATAGAAATTACTCATAAGTTAAGAGAAAAAAATAATTATCACGTTAATATTTCTTTGTTTTTATTAAGATTTTTTCCGATGAATATGGAGATAGATCTGGTTTTAAATTTTTATAAAAATAGTTTGATGTAAAAGATTACGCATGAATAAAGGTTGAAAAAGAAGTCATTGAGAGTAAGATATTTACTCTTTCGTTAATAAATACAGTCAAGCTACTGGAAATTTTTTCATGCAAAAGTGTTCTTATTTCGTATATCATTAAGTCTAAGATATACAATGAGAATAGAAAGGTTTATGCAAAAAGATTAATTAAAAGTTAAACTCTACAACTTGAAAGTCTCAATAAGAATATTATGCCGTAACAAATAAATTTATTCAGATTATCAATCGATAAGCATATGCATCAGCTGAAATAAGATCTCGTTCAGTTGTTCATAAGCATAAGTACAAAAAAAGAGCTATCAATGTTCAAATATTTTCAATATTTCAGTAATTAAAAGCTATATTTCATTATTTCCTACTACGCATTTTTATATTGATTTATTTATCTTAAATTTTCTTCTTGCAATTTATGAAAAATTTCCATAGTTGAATAAATGGTATTCATTGACAGAAAAAATTTTTATCACATATTCAGCAATATGATAATCAATTTTAGTAAATTATTTATTGCTAAATGAAAAAACAAAACTAACTCTAACAAATTCTATTGTCGAAGCTGTAACTTCGATACGGCATATGTATATATATGTATATATATAATGTTACCTTTTAATAAATTAGAATGTTTTTCTAAATATTGTCGATAATCAGATGCATGATTCGATATTGTAAAAAGATTTCGAATAATAATGGTAGGCCGGTCTCGTGGACCTTTTACTTGATTGGCTTCAACATTGAAAATTTCCTAAACGACAAACGATATGTCAGATTGTCTTACTTTGAAGAACGAAAACGTACTAATATGTTTGCATCAGATTATATATATATATATATTCCTATAGATATAAGGCTGGTGTTGGGAAATAAATACTCGTTTGAATAAAGTATGTTATAAAAAGATTTATAGTATACAGCTGAAAACTCAAATTCTTATTAAAGGGAAGCTATAGAAAAACATATATATTTTATTCTTCGTTTGATCTGTTGATTATTAAAGAATTAAATTTACCTAAGACATTAAAAAACCTCTCCATCAAATCTAGACACTCTACATCTCATATGATAAGTTAATCAATCAATTTTTGCTTGCATCGCATTGAAAAGTTTCTTTTTTCTCACTAGTAGCGTTGGTAAATTATTTCTGTATTTACTATTGCTTTTCACGGGTCCCTAGATCAATAATTGTTATTAATTGTTGGACAGAATAGTCAATCATTATTCTCGGGCTCGGAAGTAGAAAATGTGTCAATTTTATAATCATATATTTTTCTATAATCTGACATCTAATTTTCATTTATCATTCATAATTAGAAATGATACTAAATGAGATATCTAAAAAAATGAACATCTTACTTTGATGGATAGATTAATTTGTTCAATATCTGCTGGTACTGTCGTTGTCGATGATGATCCTATACCGGTCTATGAAATAAAGAATCAAACCAATATCACCAAGTTGAAAAACTATACTCACACTTTTTTGTCGAAAAAATTGTTTTACTGCCGGCACGACACGTTCGACACGCTCCACACGCTTCGAAACTTTATTTATAACCTCACGTAAGTCTCAACATCCTTTACATTCAGTATCTGTTGAATCTAAAAAGTAACTTATAGATATGTTTCTATTACTGGTATAGTTACCTATAACAGTTGGTTTTAGTTGTTTTCTTTTTCTTGCCGGTGCTTTTTTTCGATTCAATAACCTGTTCAACATGGCACTACTATCGTTGTTTTTTGCTTGATTTTTACTTAAAATTCGTGGTTCTAAAGAAATCTAAAGCAAATATGATTCATCTGCTACTGAAACGGCCTTACCATCTTCATCTTCTTCCCTGGCATCAAGTGAACTTGAATCATGTGTACGTTTGTTGGATGTTAGTGGTGAATCAAATATTGTATCAAAATCTAAATGATAAATACTTCTATACTCAGAAATAACTACTGTGAAATTATAGTACTAATTAATGGTTGATCATTTGTTGTGTAAATAGTAGTTGGTCGGGATGATAGATTATTTTGAGATAATTTATCCGTTGAATATTCTTTTGATACAGTTGAGCCTTGTGGTGTTGATAACGTTTGCAGTAACGACGTCGGCATATATAAATCTTGCTCTTTGTTTTCCTTATCATCTTCACTATCGAAAAAGTTCCCCAAATCTATCTCTTCACTACCAGTTTGACGTGCAAATTTAGTTTTATCCATATGCATTTGTGCTTTCGTACCTAAAATCGTTTTATTTAGAATAGATACTTCATTAAAAGGATAAAATGAACCAACCTTTTGATACAATGGTTAATGGTTGCGTATCACCACAAATCTTTATCTCACCTTTTCCATGTTTATGGGATTGATATTAATAGCCGTCATAGGTACAATCGCATGCTTTTTACCTTTCATGAATGATGCCAATACATATTCTTTTACTGAATAACGATTGTTCACACCAGCAGTTGATCGAGACGAACAACCATTCATGACGAAATAAATACGAGTTTATAAAACAAAATCTGAAGTAGAAGATTCAAAATCAATAATATAATAATATGGTGAATAAATGCAATATTAAAGAGATTCATGTCTCTATTAATAAAAGTATCTACTTCACGATATTGTCGACTGTTTCATCAAATAAATATAGAATGGAACAACACTGTTAAAAATACAGCAACTTTTAACTCAGTCGTGTTCCCAGTCAACAACAACATCAGTAAATACAAAAATGTTTTCTTCGTTCCAATTCATTCTGATTACTTTGTTTATGATATCGACTACCTGCACCACTTTAAAAGAACTTTTTTTTATATCAAACAAACCGTAATAAAGATCAAGTCGATTAAGAATATTTTGTGGAACAACAGTTGTTGTTAAGCCAGATTCTAAACTAAGATTAATACATGGATATTTTTTAATAAATGCATAGTATACATCGGATAATTTAAAATAAAATATGACATCGGCGAAACATCTTTTTCTTGCATGTATACATTTGTGATTGATAACAGACACTCTGTGACTAATTGCTCTTCCAGCACGTGAATAAACTTTTGAATGATAACTTTTAAAACCACGAGAATATCGAGCATAATATTCGATTCGAAAACTTTCATCAAATATTATATTTTGTCTTTTCAAACATGCAATCAATTTTGCTTTATATCTTGCAATCATTTGTGTGTCTAAGTGACGATCATAAAATCGTTCAGTAATAAAAATATCATTTACTTCGATGGTATTCTTGTCGCATAAAGAACGCTCAATCAAATGCCATGAAATATATTGTGCTAACACATATTTCTTACCATAGCACATGGTTAATGCTAATCCCAAATATGATTCACGTGGAAAACATGATGTCATCGATAAAGCACCATGAAGCACTACCTGTTCTTTTAAATGTGCATGCAAATGTACAGTAAGTAATTCAGATTTTTCACCATATAATTTTGATAAATTTTTGTAATACTCGTCAAATAATAAATCTATGTTTTCTAATTCTGATATTTTTTCATAATGATATAGTGTACGAACATACAGAAAATAGTAAAGAAAATGTAATGCATATCTATCTGGTAGAAATAAAATACTACAATCATATGTTCAAGAACGTCAAGATAAATATTGGAAATGTGTTGAATTAGGTATAAGATTTTGCTCACAAATCTACTGTTGATGTTGTCAGTTGCCTTCCTTTGATCATTGTGCCTTCAGATAATCCTTTTGATACAGCTAATAATGGTCAATTCGATTCTTGTTGACACATTGAACATTATGGTAATATTAATTCAGCATTTGGATTCACTTCAGATACCTAAAATATATCAAGTTTCCTTACAGAAATTTGAAAAAAAAAGTTTAAACATAAATTTATATCGTTTCGATCTTGTTTCTATTGTTACTTTTTAGTTTATTCTATCTTTATCAAATGTAAAAATAGAAAGAAGTCATGCTAATTACTTTTTTGAAATCGTAGTGTTTACACGAAGTATACACGTATCAATCTACTCATGTGATAAACAGTGTCGTTTTGAAACTGATATATCATAGCATATTATATCACAACGATGTCTATTAAAACTGACTGAATGTTATCATTTTTAATTGTAAATTGATAATGCTGATGCGTCTAAGTCATCTTACTAGTGGCAGAGCTCAAATTGGTACCAATTATGAGAAAAGACTTTATAATAGTTGACTATGTGAAAGTTTTTATTAATAAATAACTCATCGTCAACTAGAGAACATTCTCTATCATTATTTCTACCTTTGACTGAAAGTCGTAAGTGCTACCAGTGATAGTACGAATGAACGTGTAACAGAAGAATAACTTAAGAAATGAGTTTATAAGACATCTTTAGAATGAATGTGATTCTAAGATTAACAAAAAGTTTGCTTTCATATAAATGAAAATATTTTATTTTTCAATTCATAATCGAAGTTTGTATCAATGATTTTTACATATATCTCAAGGAAATACTTCTACGAATGTATGACTTCAATAAATCTCCTTCGATTTTTCAAATTAGATATTTTTTTTTCTGATTAGCAATTGAATAAATGTACTATACTCAGCATTCTATCACAATGATGTTGACATTTTTTGCTGAGTATTACCAGAACAGTCTTATTTTAAAATTTTGCAAAAAAAGCTTTGAAAATTTT